AATTCAAAGCGCGGGATTCTGATGCATTAAACCGATACGTTCACACAGTAAACATATGCCTACAACTAACAAAATATAGTCTTGTTTATGACTAGAATAAAATTTCTTTAAATATTTGTCATACTTACAACTTAACCAAGAAACTGGGGGCTAAAATGGAAGCATAAGGAGCTTACGATTTCCAAAGGATTTACCATGGTTTTTCATCGGTGTGTACTGGGCTGGGCTATACATATAATTATTTAGCATTTTGTATAAATATATACATATTCCTAACGACGTTTTCTATATATTTATATATGCGGTAGATACCACTATATAGAAGGTTTTATATATATATATATATATATATATATATATATATATAATATATATATATATATATATATATATATATATATATATATATATATATGCCTCATGCTGAGGCTTAGGTTGCATTCATGATGCTTCTTCACCTCAGTTGGGCTAAACCAACTCACACTTAAACTAGGACTTTTAATGTAAATAAAATACATTCCACTTTATTTGGTCTGTTCTGCGTACGTGATAATCTTCTCCCAACTTGCACACGCCGCTCAGGCAAATTGTGGTACCCCTGCGTAATTGTATCGCGTGGTAGTATTTAAATAACTTTCGGACATTTTGTACTTAGCGAGTATTCACCTTTAACCAGTTTCTTGCATCCGCTCATTTTACAAGTATTTATGTCGTCATGAGCGTTTACTTTATTCTATATCGGTATTTCGAATGATTGGCTGTTGCTTGACATCCCAAGTGTGGCTTCGCTTGATGCGCATGTTGGCAAGGTGCCTACCAGTCTAATACTACTACCTCGTCCACCTGGCTCCAAGAGACAGTTGGTCGTGGCTGGGGGCAGGGTGCACGGTCCCTGTGGTCGTGCTAGGCTCGAAGAATGGTTCCATGCTTTCGGTGTGGAGCGGACTACGGTCCAGCCATCACTTTGTGTGCAATTGGTTCTCCAAAGACAGCGTGCTTGTGTTTGCCTGTGAAGGAGTGTTGGTCGGCTCCGTTGATGCAACCTGGTTCCCATCCGCAAGCTTCCCGATCTTATTCCTTCGGAGTTACACTAGATATCTGGTGCGTGTATGGAGCTGTGGGTGGTGCAGCGCAAGCCATCCATGGTCTCTCTGTAGGCGCAGGCGTTCTGTGGCTGGCCACAGTAACAGGCAAATCCGATACGGCTACGCCAGCCACTGATATCACATTTCCTAGGGTCATTATCTCTGTTTAGCAGTAGGTAGTCGCCATAGACACCGTTCAACTCTACGGATATCCGGAGGTTGCTAGAATGCACTCCTTCCCTACAACATTTATTCTCCTGGACTGTTTGCATCACAGCTCAGCTGGTTTGGTGACCTATTCTGTGCCACAGTAGTTTCCACTAGCGACTAAAGGCATAAGCCGAATGCCATTGCTGACCTCTGACCTCACACCTAGCGCTCTTATCTCCCCATTCGCCTTATTCTCGTCAACAATTCTTGGCAGCAGCTAGTCGTTGTGGGCTCCATACCTCTGTGCAATCCGTAACTTGGATAGGAGCCACTCCTTTTCTCTCTAACCTTTATTTTCCTGGAATTATCTGTCTCTAATCTTTGCTCTTTTGTTGGTTTATTAATTGAAACTGTAGGTATCCACTTGTGACCAATTGTCCTAATGATATGGCTACATCAGTCCCTGCTACTACCTTTCCTAGAGCCTTTATCACTCTTTAGCAGCAGTTGGTTGACATAGGCTCCATGCAACTGCGGCTAACCCGAGCTCGCTCTTAGTCACTGCTATCCTACAACGTTTATTCTCTTGCATTAAAACGCAGCTGGTTCGGTGAAGTATTATGCGACATGGTAGGTATCCACAAGTGACCGAATTTCTTAATCAAGTGGCTACAGTTGGCCGCTGATGATATGTTCACCAACACTTTTAGCTCAGTTGTCTCACCTTCAACACCTCTAACTACCGCGATTCGACGTACCCTTCTCGCATTCCTGCGCATATTCTGGGCTTGCTATGTGCCACTACTTAGCTTTCCAACTGAATTCTTTTAGACTGCTTGAAGCTGGGTTGTTGACCTATTCTTTGATACTGTAGTTATCCATTAGTAACTAGAATGCTTAACCCAACTAACATTTTTGACCGCTGAAACCGAGTCCATTAGCGCCATCTCTCGATCGTCCTACCTTCGACACTTAGTCCCCCGTACATATGCATTTATTCCTAGCCAGCTTTTATTGTGCTCCGCTTCCTATCCTCATATACCCAGGTATATAATAGTTATTAGGTGGTCTTAGATAATCCGCATCCCATGGAGTATATTTAAATATCGCCATATCGTCACCGTATCTTCTGGTTTCCGATTGCAACCAGTCGTGAGTACATACCCACCTTCTGGTCTCCGGTCGAATTCTACCGCCGTACGCTAATACCGGAACTCTGCTCTTCATCCCCATGTACATGAAAGTAATTTATCCATTAGGCGATGCCTTCTGTTGCTTCAACGAAAAGGATTTTCAGCGTAATGTCTGTCACACATTGTACAACATTTGTCTCAAGTAAATGTTTTAAGTAGGATTTCCCCTATGCCTGGTGCCAGGACTGTCCTTTTTGGTTTCCTGTCGGTCGGTTCCACTCTTTCTCTTTTCTCTGAGGTCGTGAACGTCTTAGAGACCCGAGATTAAAATGAGAAATTGCCTCCGTCTGAGATGGGACGAAGTAACCAACAAGGACTTAACTGGACCATGGCTTCACCGCAAAACCAAGCATTTGCATCCAACACCTCAACCACCGATGTCCAGTGAGGGTAGCTGGGCACGAATTCTTCACACCACAGAAAATATACAAAATCAGAGAAGGTGAGACCCCATACACTGGAAAGTCTACTTACCTACAAAAGCATACTTCCTCCTCACCGTACCTCACCGTCCATGTTGGACTCTGACTGTGCCATTTGTCTAGCCAACATAAGAGCCACTCGACTGCGAACAACCGCACGAACGAATGCTTCTTAAGAGGCTTTGCCATATGTACATGACCGTGCATAGAAATCGACGGCAGTGTTCCGGGACTTGGTGGGTTTTCGCCTGGCAAGCCTTCTCCCTATAAAATGCCACAAAAGTCGTTTATCAAAACTGTGACGTGGCGGACGTGACTCGCCACTGAATAAAGTCACTGTCCACTGTTACACACTGGAAGATCGACTAGTCATTTTTCACTTTTTTACTGTCACGTACAACAAAGATACTCTCAGTCCTCATATACTGTCGCCACTCCACTTACCGTGCTTTTTTATTTACTTTATGCAACCTTGAAAACATTTACATGAGTGGTTCGATTGGTTGCAAATTGTACAAGGTTTGGCTACAGCCAATTACATGCTTTGTAACGTATCTGTTGCGCCACATAAGTGCTTGTAAGTTTCAATCCTACCTGAGGTGGTATGGCGCGATGAATTCGAGAATAAATCAATTATTTTTGTATTTATTTATGTAGTACCTTACATTAAGACACACAGCTTTGCTCTTTCTACGCGGTGTTCGAACATTGGTTTCGGCGCCTTTCATTACTGCAAGTACCAGTTGGATTCAGTTTACTAGAAACTTTGCTGATATCAAATCTTAGAGCAGTTATTTGGACATGAAGGCAGGTTCGAATGTCAGGAACCTACTAATAGAGAAATTGTGAGGACATACGCTGAACAGTTTATACTTTTACCTGAACTAAGCCCTAGGGTCTCGGCCTCAGCGCTTAAATTTCTAACCACGGTCTGAATGGGAATGACCGAGAGTTCCTGTGGATCCTGCATCCGCGTGCGGGATTGCAATTTGCACCCAAAATGGGACAAATATAGCCATAAAGATCCATTGCTCTCACCACTTCTCATGTTCAGTGTGGTTATCTGGACATAAAGACGACATACCAGTACCAGTATACCAAAACAGAAAAGCCAACCCCATCACTCCGGACATAACATATTGCGACCGACCTTAAAGTAAAATTGCTCACCATGCCTACGCAATTGGTTTAACCATATTAGAACTCCGACAGTTAATGACTACGAATAGTCGAGTTAACAACCTGAAAGTTAAACAAGGCCAAATATACATTACCGTTCAAAAGAGCTACAGCAAGGGTCTAGGACATGGTGGGTTTTCGCCTGGCAAGGGTACTGCTCCTTAGAATCCATAAATGTACGTTAAATAACACAGTGACGCTGCGGGCGTGGGTCCCCACTCAATAAATATACCGCCAGCAAATTTTTAGTGGCAAGTTAACCAGATTGACATTTTGCTACGCTTGTATATGTTTTTGATACGCACACTAAAACGATACTTACTGGTCTGTAATTTCCCTCACCACGCCACATATTACCCCTATTGCTGCCCTCTACGGCACACCCCTGCACCCAGATTATAGCTACCCAACTAACAATTTTGTTCCTGCTCAGTAAATGCTTTAAGTGCGCGATCAGCCCACTTCATGCAAAGCGATGTGCCCGTTTCGAATCATAACCGTATGTACAGTCTTGAGTATTCCTGATTTGGTGTGGTACGAGGAACTCGAGAGTAAACTCATTATTTAATTATTTACCTTTTTGTTTAGAAAGCCATG